CAGCGCCGAGCAACCAAGGGTAGTCGCAACGCGGAGGCCGTTGAGGCATGGGAGGGGGGGGGGGGATGGAGCGCGGCAGCGGGGGGGGGGGGGGGGGGGGGGGGGACGATTATTACATCAAAAAAACCAAAATGTATAAAATTATAAACTTACATTTGGTGTAGTCTGCTTATAATAATTATACTTTACTGTTGTTTCGAGTAGATCGACTAACGTCACATTGGTATATTTCTATGTAATCTCCTAGAAGTTATATCTAGATTGATTATGTTAAGATGCTTCAAGTGTTCGATGAAAATAACAGTCGTTCACTCTTTTCTATCATATTTTTAATATAATTTAATAGATATCAATGAGATCTATGAATTTGTATATAACACACAATCGAGGCTCTCATTTTTTTTTTAAACAATAATCTTTGTTGTATAATTTGAATATATATTTTATCAATTTCTACAGAGTTTGAGCAATATTTTTAGAAAATAACACACTCCCTCACTTGTTGTTTTGCATAAATATTCTCATACAAAATACTATAGATGGTATCGATATCTATCGATTGATATGAAGTTCACATAGAGTTTCTATATCATTTTATAGAAAAACAAAAGAGTTCCAATTTAATTTTGTACGAACCATCTAAATATCCAAGCGTGCAAGTTTAATCTGCAGTATAAAAACACGATAGCATCTTCATATTTAGGATCATATAGCATGGTCATAATAAGGATTATTAGATCGATTAGGAAACTGTATGATATGCATGAAACACTGTCATTTCGATGATAATTGACCGGCAGCTTTCATAATTTATCTATAAATCCGGCTATGCATTTTATCATCAAACGGAAGGAATTAGGCCGAGAGTAGACACCTAGCTGATAGTGAGGATGAAAAACTAGCTACCGGTGAGGATTATATCTATGAGAACTATAATTGTCTTTTAGTTCAGTTGAAAATATATTGTATGTTATTAATAAATAAATTCAATAAATCTCGATAGTTTCTTATCGCAACACTTACGTGGAAAAGCAACAAGAAACATAGTTACAAATCCATATTGAATAACTAAATATATAAATAATACAAAAGTAAAAACAAAGACAATTAACGATATCTATTTCATACTTAATTCAAGATATTCATAGAAAAGTGTTGTTGTTGTCCATCTTTCTAACCTAATAATAACAACATTAAACAAAAGAAAAAAAAAAACAAATATTATTTTCGTTTTCGAAAATATTTTTCTTACATAAAATCATCTTCTTGTGGTCTTTTACTATACCAATGAAGTGTATGATGACGACGATATCTCATTTGTTTAAATGCATTTCTATGAACAAGTATTTTACGAAAAAATGTCCAAAATTTTCTAGAAAAATAATTTTTTTTTTACATCGAATCAAAAACAAAACAAAATAATTTTTTATTTTTTCTTACACCATGCCGACTTCAAATAAGTTATTAATTACTTGTTTGCCTACAAGTATAACTAATAATTGAATAGATAATTCAGCAAGACAACCACTAGCTTCACACTAACAATCAAAATATAAGTTCTTTCATTTACAAAATATAAACTAATTAAATTGGTGTTTGTTTGTTTTTTTTTTTTGTTTTCTTACTTCTTCAGTTTTATATTTTCCAATTTTATAACTTTCTACACCAGGTGGATTAGCAAACCATGGTTTAATAAATGCTATATAAAAAATACTCGCATAAAAATTAACAAATTGAAATAAAAACATTTTTAATGTTAATGCATTTTCATAATCTTTTTCTGTCCGATGAATTTCTATATAAAATAAAATATTAAATTATATCAAATGATCCTTTTTTTTACCATAATCTGTTAACCATATAGCTAAACGTTCATACAGGGAACTCAATGCAATAATAACAACAAGATTAATACATGCACCAGTTATTGAAGCAACATGTGGAGAATATCGACGAACAAGTTCAGGTGTACGAGTTGAACTTATTGCTGCTTTGATACTTATTCGATAAAGTACAACACCGAAGACAAAACTTAGAACAAGACAGATCTATATTTAAAAACAAAAAATATAAACAATTTCATGTACATTTCATAGCTCATAAAGTATAGAATGCTTTTAATTTGTTTGTTTACATACGATAGTGCACAGTTTTTAAACTCAATTATATATTCAATAATCTAGTATTCCTGCCCTAATCAGAGATGGAATTGGTTCGGTTTCAGAAAAAAAAAATCGTAAATCGATCCCATCTCTGATTCGAATTAGAGAAAGATAGATGTAATCTTAATAACTCGATCTTTTCAAGAAACACATGGAAATAGTGTACCGTTTCAAGGAAATACCAAGTCAAAAAATTTTCTAAAAAACAACAGAATTTTATATAATTTGACCGAGTAAATAAGTGATTTTGTTTGCTCAGCATTCAATTGTGAGAAGATAACAACTTGAAGTCTCTTTATTAGAAGTACATGGCATAATGAAAATTACATTGAAAGGGAGTGCCATTTTCATGCTTTTTTTTCGAATATTTTTTGAAAATGATGGTTTTTAAATAATTTGATCTTATATAGTATCAAACAAAAAGATGTTCCGAGCTTTTGTCTTTCAATTGTTCAAAACAGTAGGTTACTAGAGGTTGCCGTTATCGAATTATTTTGATTACACTTATGTCTCTTGAATTTTAGTGCGAACATCAATTGTAAAAGTTAGAAAGACATCATTTTTGTAGAACATTTCTGTAGAATGTTATAATATCATAAAAAAGTGTCAGCTAGTATCTGAAATAGTAAATGACTGATTTAATCATTCTATTCATTTCAAAACGATTTTCATAGATAAAACAGCAAAAAATATATTGATAAGAATTTAGATAAGTATGTCCTTGAAAATTAACTGTTACATATTTTTTCAAAGTTTTTTTCGAAATTTCGTAATTGTGTACCAGATTTTTTTATATCTTTTCGTAGTAATTAATTTTTTCTTATAGATTTTGATTTAAAAAATATAAATTTCTATTTGATGGAATAGCAAAGATTACATAAATGTTAGGTTTTTAAAATTTTATATCAACAAGAAAAACCTATTGGAACAGCATATCATGTCTTATATAACAGAAAATTTTCCATCGTTGAGAAAAAAAGAAAATCTATATATATATATATATCATTTTATATGAATTAAATGATCAAGGTTTTTAATCTCGAAAATTAATTATTTTTCAATGAAATCCGAGAATTTCATGCAAAAATAAATGCAATAATTTATTTAAAAACATTCTATTATTAGATCTCAGCAGGCAAGAATTAAGATTGTCAGACGTCGATCGAGCTTATAATTTGTATATATATATAGGATTCGAGGAGATTAATGAAAGCTTAAAAGGATTTGCGTCCATATCTTGTGCACCTGGAGTTATAACCTTTTAATTGAATATTTGACTTCAGACAAATTATTTGGTTAAAGTTCAAATGATAAAAATTTGATCGGCACTTTTCGCATGAGTAAATGTCTTCATCATTAAATTTTGTCTGAAATTTACATTTGAAAAACACGATTTCTTCTGGAGATATTTAATAATTAAAAAAGGTTGGTGTTCTGACCGAAGGAAAAACAGCAGACTTCTAAAGGCTTCAGATGACTTCAATAAACTTCGTTGGACTTTAGGAGATTTCAAATACTTAATAAAACTTTAATATATATATATTAAAAGCTATAGCTCAAAGACTTTTTGAAGAATTCATAAGACTTCTAGACTGAAGTCCTTGCTATTTTCATTTCGATCAAAACACCAATCTTTTTAATTATTCAATATCTTGAGAAGAAATCGTGTTGTTTAAGTGAAACTTCAGGACATTTTAATAATAACAAGATTCACTTGTATAAAAAATTCCAAATTAAACTTATGTCATTCTGACTTTAATCAGGTACTTTGTCTGAGATCGAAAATTCAATAAAGTGTTTATAACTCCGGATAGACAAGACATAAGTGTCAATCTTTTTAAGCTCTTACTAGTTTCCTCAAGTTCTACATATATATAAATCATGAGCTTTATCCTTCATCCAACAATAGAGAACATTTCCTGTTCAGGCTTAGAATTTTTACAAAAGATTTACTTCATGTCAAGTATACATGAAGAAAAGAATGATCCAATGCCATGTTTGAAGCAAAGAAAAGTTTTCTCAAATATTTTTTATCATAAGCAATGAATGCTTTCAATCAGTACACGACTACCACAATGTTATATTCTATATATTCTATAATTTCTAAAGCTTCTTATTGTTTAGTGACATTATTGATAAGAGTATTACATATTTAACGGAAGGTTTAAGTCTATCGATTTCCGTCTGGTTTTTTCTTCATCATTTACTTTCTATTTTCATTAATTCTTTCATAACTCCTACAACACATTATTCCTTCTGTTATGAACATTCATTTCATTTCCATATAAATACTTATTTTCAAAAGAATTGAATTTTCATCTATTGATATGCTTAGCTTTACAATATCTATACTAAAACTCAATGATTACACTTCAAATAAATAAAATAAAAGAAGAAAAAATAAAAACAAACAAACCATCATAGCAACAATAGAAAATGATGATACACTTTTTGCACATCGTTCTCTAGCTGGCATATATTGTTCTACAACACCAGTTATTGGATTAACACGTGTTGTTCGTACTTTACGTTTAAAATCTGGTCGTGGTTCATCTAAATCAGTTCCTCCATTTCCACCATCTATTAAATCAAATGTATCCCATTCATACTATAAAAAACAAAAACAAAAAAAAGACAATAATTCTTTATCTATCATAATTTTATTTTTATCTTTACTTGAAATTGATATTCTGCAACATCCCAAGCTGGAAGAAATAAAGCTGACCATACAGTTATTATAGCAGCATAACCAACAGTTGCTTTATTATTAAATAAAAATGCCATCTAAATAAAAGAAAATTATTCTTGAAAAGAATAATGTTCTTTTTTTTGGTAACAAATAATTTCTTTACTTTAGCATACAGACAATCTTCACCTAATGTCCATAATTGTCGATGCGATCTCGGACACATAAGTGTATGTGCCAAATTATAACAAATATCATTACTATAGATAAAATATCAATATTTATCTATATCATATAATAAAATAAGCTTACTGACGTGGGTACATCATGTTTTACCGCCCAAAGACCATAGAAAAAAACTGAAAGACCAATTAAACAAGGAAGTATTAACATTTGGATATACCTTGAAGAAAAAAAACAACAACAACAAACATAACCTTTAATTTTATGATTAAAAAATTAATGTCAAGAAATCAAACCATCGTAACCAACAAAAATATAATGCAACATGTTCACCAAAATAATCTTTTATATGATTAATTGGTTGATCTTTAAATACATTACTAATACGACTCCAATGCCACCATAATTTCTATATACAATAAAAACAATCAATAATAAATAATAAAATTAAAAATAAAATTATACAAACCATTCTATCAAAGGTATTTCGATGTTCACCTTTTGTCATTATCCAAGATGGAATCATATGTGGTTCTATATTTTTTAATAATGGCTATTAGAAATTAAATAATTAAAATAAAAATTTTTTTCGAAATGAATTTCTTACGGCATGTAATGGATAACAATCATCATAAACTTGATCACGAAGAAGAAGTTCAATACCTAGAAAATAAAAAGTTTTCAAATTCATTAGTATTTGATTGATTCTTCATATTACTATCTAGTCAGAACGAAACAAAAGAATAAAATCTTAAGACTTCCTTTTCTTTCTTACCTGGAGAGTTCGTTTTTTTTTTCTATGTGTCTCCTTGTTTCCTCATTTACTTGTTGATCTATTTATATAAAACTGGAGCAGTTAGTACGTTTTTTTAATGTTAAGTTAGAGAATAAAAGCATTGATACAACCTCGAAATTTTAGGAAGACAATGTTGTATCCGGTTCGTACATTATGTTTAGAAAAATTTTTGACTAAAATCTTTTTTTTGGTATCTAACTTTCTATAATTAGGACTAAAATTCAAGGAAATTATATGATAGATAAATAATAATAATAGTCTAATAATTCACGGAAACGCTATTGAAATGTGGAAATATAATCAACAAAATTGTGATACTAATATTTTTATTTTTATTTTTAGTTCAGAAACAAATTCGAGCCACTTTTTTCTTTATTGTTTACTTTACCTGAACTTGTTGAAAATGCAGTAAAAATTTTTTCTAATTCCAAGACACGTCTTTCTTTTGCGTCACTTGTAACATGTATACCTAAAGCAAAAAGAAAATAATTAATTCAATTATTTACATAATCAATAAATAATTATTCGATTAACTTTTTGGTTCTTCAATTTCTGTTTTTATATCAAATGGTGTACGTAATAAACAATCATAAACAAGACGACTTCGTTGAGCTGGTGTAAAATATAAATCACGTGAACTACCACGTAATGTATCAAATAATGGTTCAAATCTTATATAAAATAACAAATACATCAAACATAATTGAATTTTTCGTTTTTTTTTTGTTTTTTTAAATTACATACCGATATCTCAATGTTTTATCATATTCAGCAAGAAAATAATATTGTTCAGGTGGAAACATAGTACGATCTATTTGTGTAAATGGTAACCATGACATAAAATAATCAAATGGTCTTTTTGGAATGCATGGTGTACGATTTTCCTAAATATAGAAATGAATTATTGATATCACATAGAATAAAAAAAATAAATAAATATTTGATATCATCGATTGATTTAGATTATTTCTTTCGCCTGAATGAAATTGGGTCAAATATGTAGATTGTTTCTCTCATTAAAACATGCTATTTCATGATATGTAAAATGAAGTAAAAATAAATCGGAATTTCCCTTAAGGCAAACAAGTAAAAAAGACAGAAAAGAAAACAAATAAGAATAATATATCATTTTATCGATGAAAAATTTGCTATTTTTTTTTTTGCTTATATTTTTACTTCAATGGGTAATTTCATTCGTGTTTTTTCGGCTAGTTCGAGTAGAAGTTCAAATGATGCATGAAGTCGAACAAAACGTTTAACAGATTGTTGTTGTGGTTGTTCAGATTTACGACGATGACGATTAAATAGACCATTAACAGCTATTTCATTATTTTCATGATTAACATCATCATGTCTTGATTCCTATTTATGTTAAAGAAACAAAGATATCAATACGAAAAGAATTTCAATTTACCAATCCACCAACAATATCTTGTTCTTCAATTTCAAAACCAACTGATTCAAGGTTATGTTGAAATGCTTGTCGACGTTGTTTATTTATTGCTGAATCACGAACTCCAAGACTATAGACAAGTACAAAATCGATGCGACGACGTTGTCGACAATCATTATTATTGGCGATACTTGGCGTTGTCAAGTAGAGTTGTCGATCGGCCTCTTCAAGCCAATCAACAGGGCGCTAACAAAAAAAAATAATATTTCTTTTTGTATTTATTTCAAGTGCTAACTAAGAAATAATAAGGAATTCAAATAGATAAATAGATGAACACTTTTATTAGTTATTACACAGGAAGGAAGATTAAAACAACATATATAGTTTATACACGCAAGCAAAAAATACAACATGTATATCCACATATTTTCTTTAGCTTACCAGTCGTAATAAAGTTCGACGACCACCACCACTACCGCTGATACTACTACCACCCGACTTGTTACTCATCAATGATTGATTGATTTTTATCGATAACTTATATCAATTTCAATTTTACTTATTAAGTTAGACAAACGTGATTGAATAGAACAATGATCATTGTCCTATAGTGTCTATATGCGTGTTTACACGGCCAGAATAATTAAAATGACTGCGTCTATTACCAGCGCAGCTTCTTCTACTACTTCTTTTTCTCCTTTTTTTTTTCTCCTATACCCGTTATNAACATTGATGCACTTTCTTCATGTCCAACGTCAGAAAATGCACTACATATTCCGGATGACGATGTATTTGAACTAAATGTACTACACCGTCTATTATTATCTGACAAACTAGAATGAAAGCTGAAATCACATCGTGATAATGTATCAATAGTAGATGATTCTGAACTATTCTCTGAACAAAAGTGCATACGCTGTTGACATTGATTATGATTATTATTCTTACATGTATCGTTTACATCGAATAAATCATGTCCATGTGAAGATATTTTATGTTGACCCATCAATGGATTATCATTATAATTATTATCAGTATCAAAAGTTGTTGAACAATGTTCTGCATTTCGTAAATATTGTATTACTTTATGATTATTTAATAAAAATGGAGCATTAACACTATTATTACCATTGGTTGCTAGTGTTTTACAAGTCATTGATATAGTTTCAAGGAGCTCTTTTTTATTTTCTATGCATCACAAGGTAGAGCATATAAATATAAACATTATCATCAACAAACAAACATAATAAATAACCCTTCTTGTGATTACTATGAAAGAGAGAAAAGAAAAGAAAACTGTATACATATAAAGTACCCACAACTCTTAGAGGTTTTTTGGGTACATTTTCCCCTCGATAAATCAGTAGCCTGAGATAATAACTGATAGCAATAAGAAAGAAAAAAGAAAAAATACACTCTTCATGCTATTCATTGAAATAGCCCTTGCGAAATAGAAGAGTAAAAGGGCAATTCAATAGACATCTGTGACTCATTGATTATTGCTTTTTATTTACTGGTGGATTCTATTTGCCAACCGTCTTTACAACGGAGAATACTTTAGTGTCAAATGTGTGTTTGAGTGCCTTCTATGTGTCTATAACACAGAGATACAGAGTTTGTAATGAAAACTCGTAATTTATTCGAACGAGAAAATAACTTGAATAATTTCCATAGACTCAATAGCTTTCAACAAACATCCGTAGACAATAAATTCCGAAAAAAATATCTTCGAGCACAAATGTTTTCAAAAACTTCTTTACGCTGACAGAATTTTTCCGAAACGGACACTCAGACAGACTGGCAGATTCTATCATTCAGTTCTAGCATGCCAGAGTTTTGATTCACTTAGTATTCAAAACAAATTAAATACATTTCATTGATGAATGTAGGATAGCTATGATGAAAGAAAGGACATTACATCAAAAAACAACAACAGGAAAGGAATAAAAGAAAATAAACATATGTAAACATATATTATGCATATAAAAGTTTTCAATAATTTCATTGGATTGTGAAACAACAATCTAACCCTTATAGTGTTGTACTTTGCTTTTTTTGTATTCATCTTTTATTTCTTCAAGGTTGTCTGTCGATAAAAACAGTCTATGTTAATAAAAAAGAGTGTTTATATGTTAAAAGCTACAGGTAATCGTAGTTTTTCATTCTTCATATAAAAAATTTATCGCAATGTAATGAAATGTCAGGCACATTATTGAATTTGACCTAAAATCAGTAAAATATGATATTCATTCAAAGGTTATTGTTTTTATTTTAGAAATAGCAAAGAAAAAATCATGATAAAAATACATTATTTCAGATTGTTGGCGATGTAAAACTTCTCTCTAACATTCACCTGTATCTTCATAGGAGCTCAACAAATTAAACAGATGAAATAATCGAATTGATCATCAAAGTATATTGAGGCTAAACATTTTTAAATTATGTTTGCGCAATTAAATCATAAAAAGTGTGATTTATTTGAAATTCATCTATAATTTAATGAATTATAAATTAAATTAAATTATTCTATTTTGTTTTGTTTTGCATATTTCATTTCAGACAGACGAACATGGAACAAAACGCGCTAAGGAACAACAAAATTTTAATGACCATAAAATCGTACAAACTACACATTTTAATATGTTTACAACGCTCTAAAGCTTTCGAACAAATATGTCACCGTTGAGAAATCTAATGCGTTATGAAGGTGTTTACATGTGCATTTTGTATGATTTTATGTTCGTTAAAATTTTTTTCTTCTTTTACGCATTTTTTCTCGTTTGCATTTTAATGGGATGAAATACAAAAAGAAATAGAATAATTTAACTTAGTTTATGATTTATTAAATTTTAGATGTAGTACAAAATAATTTCCATTTCAAATAAATTTAATTTATTGTAATTTATATTAAAAATAAATATAAATTCTCACAATTCATATATAAAGCAAATATAAATCAACAGCTGTACAAGAGAGCACAGCGAATTCTGATATTTCCAAAGTATTTGTTCACAAAACGGGCAAGATATGAGAAAACCAATATCAAGATAGTTGTATAGTACTAGGGTACTTTCATTTGATAATGTTTCCTGAGCGAGGAAAAATTGATGACTTTTTGACTGAATTCTTTCTAGTGCATCCTATCTGTTGAATACATAATGTTAATCCAAATAATGGTATACCGTTCTATGTATTTTAGTGTTTATAAAAATCTTTAACCTTGATATACTTTAATGATCAATTCAATTATTTTATCTGTTTAATTTGTTGAGCTCCTATGAAGATATAGATGAATTTTAGAGACAAGTTTTACATCGCCAACAATCTGAAATAATGTATTTTTATCATGATTTTTTCTTTGCTATTTTTAAAAATAAAAACAATAACCTTTGAATGAATATGATATTTTACTGATTTTAGGTCAAATTCAATAATGTGCGCAATATTTGATTGCCTTGCGATAAATTTTTTATACGAACAACGAAAAAATATGATTACCTGTAGCTTTAAACATATATACAGTCTTTTTTATTAACATAGACTGTTTTTATCGACAGATAACCTTGGAGAAATAAAAGACCAATACAAAAAAAAGCAAAGTGCAACACTATAAGGGTTAGATTGTTGTTTCACAATTCATTGAAAACTATAGAAAATTCTTATATGTACATTACTTTTATTTATTTCCTTTTCTTGTCTTTTCACGTAATGCTTTTTCTTTCATTAGAGCTATCCTGCATTCATCGATGAAATGTATTTAATTTGTTTTGAATACTAAGTGAATCAAAACTCTGGCATGCTAGAACTAAATGATAGAATCTACCAGTCTGTCTGAGCGCCCGTTTCGGAAAAATTCTGTCAGCGTAAAGAAGTTTTTGAAAAAATTTGTGCTGGAAGATATATTTTCGGAATTTATTGTCTACGAATGTTTGTTCAAAACTACTGAGCCTATGGAAATTATTCAAGTTATTTTCTCGTTCGAATAAATTACGAGTTTTCATTACAAACTCTGCATCTCTGTGTTATAGACACATAGAAGGCACTCAAACACACATTTGACACTAAAGTATTCTCCGTTGTAGAGACGGTTGGCAAATAGAGTCCACCCGTAAATAAAAAGCAATAATCAATGAGTCATACATATGTATCAAATTCGTCTGTTGTTTTTTTTTTCGCTATACTTGTGTGAATGAATAGCATAAAGAACACTTTTTCTTTTTTTCTTTCTTATTATTATCAGTTACTATGTCAGACAACTCATTGATCGAGGGATAAAATGTACCCAGACACCTCTAAGAGTCGTGGGTACTTTTTATAGATATATATAGGTTTTTTTCTTTTCTCTCTTTCATAGTAATCACAAGAAGAGTTATTTATTATGTTTGTTTGTTGATGGTAATGTTTATATTTATATGTTCTACTTCTTGATACATAGAAGATAAAAAAGAGCTCCTTGAAACTATATCAATGTTACGTACAACACTAGCAACCAATGATAATAATGGTGTTAATGCTCCATTTTTATCAAGTAATCATAAAGTAATACAATATTTACGAAATTCAGAACACCGTTCAAGAAATTTTGATACTTATAATAATTATACTGATAATAAACTGATGGATCAACATAAAATATCTTCACATGGGCATGAGTTATTTTCTGTAAAAGATGCATTTAAGAATAATAATCATAATCAATGTCAACAGCGTATGCACGTTTGTTCAGAGAATAGTTCAGAATCATCTACTATTGATACATTATCACGATGTGATTTCAGCTTTCATTCTAGTTTGTCAGATAATAATAGACGGTGTAGTACATTTAGTTCAAATACATCGTCATCCGGAATATGTAGTGCATTTTCTGACGTTGGACATGAAGAAAGTGCATCAATGTTATCAGAAGATCTTGATTTTAACCTTGGTTTTGATCAGATTAGTGATAATGATGATTTTGAAACATTTAGTCTTGATGAAATAGATGAATATGAACAAAATGAACGAGAGAATCAACGAATCTCGAATAAGAATAGTTGCAGTAAGTATACTAAAATGAAATTATATTTTCTATTGTTTCTCTTCAAAGATACAGCAACATTAGTTGATTTTGGTCAGTCGAATTCAGATGGACGTAATAAGGAATTAGAAAAATTTCTTCGTAAATCTTATAGTTCAACAACTCTTAATGGTAATATTGAATTTCATAATGATAATGAAATAACAAATAGGCAAATAAAACAACAGCAACAACAACAACGTGCATCATTGTTACATGATTCAACATATACATTATGTTCACCAGATCGCTTTTCAGTGTATAGTGGATGCGATGATCATGAAAAAGATAAAGTAGCACATGCTATTGGTACACGTTCGAATCCATTGGGTATTGCTTTAATACATAGAAAGTCGGCTTTATTGAATAAAACACAAAAAAAAGTTGTTCATTTCGCGGATATGTTGGTATGTTTTGTGTATCTTATGAGTAGATAACAACAGTGTTCCTTTATATAAGATATAACAAAAATTATTCAAAAATCATACAAATAAAATTAGATTTGTGCAAAGTCACGGATCTGTTATGGATAGTGTAGGTTAAGGTAGAGTCAGAATAGAGTTGTAACTGATCGAGAGCTTTTGAATTGTCACGGTCCGGTTGGTTTCAAAAAGTTTTGAGATTGGTGAAAACTGGCAAAAACTGACCGGTCTGTGGGATCATCATTTATCAATTAATGGGAATGGCTTGAAAAAAAGCATACATTTTCTTCTAAGCACTCATATTTTTAGAAAGCTCCAGAAAGATATATCATGTTATAATCGATTTTATTTGTTAGGTTTTGTTAAAGATGTATGTCATATTTCTGTATATATAGCACGAGAAAATGAGTCATTTATTCACCAACTGATTGCTAAATTCAAAACTCTTGAATTTTTTTATTGAACTTTTTCATACAAGGCTAACATTTCTCTTCGAACCAGGAGCCAAACCTAAATTTGGTTGTCACTAAAAGCGTTTAGCTCTAGTCACTCAGTCCCGAGTATATTTTTCAAAACTATGAAATATACTTCGGTTAAAGACATAAAAGTGTCGATGAGCACAACTAAATGCAACTGGTAGTTCTTGAAACAATACTGATTGATTATTTTGATAAGAACAAGCAAAGTTCAAGAAAAAGAATGAAACATTTCACTGATAACTTTATCGAATATAATTCTTGAAATATCATTCTTTTTTCTAATGTTGTAATGTATAGAATTGTAGAAGCCATAAATCAAATCTATTGCAATGGAAATGTACGATAGATATAAACATGTTAAGAATTTTTTCTGCTCTTTTCTTATTATAAAATCAAAATTTAATATAAAAATACCAAGTGTTCTTATGCTTGATGTCAAATAGCCTTTTAATGAAAGCCATTGAAACAAAGCAAAGAGCACCAGAATCTTTCGATATTTCAATCTTTTACAGTTTGTAAAAGTTGTTTCATTAATGGGTATAGAACTCTTTCTAATTGGTAACATCAGTCTTCTTTGAATTTTAATATGAGGACCACTTTTTCTAAACAGCTGAGATTGAATCAGATCATGTTACACGTTTGTTTTCACCACCGCTGATATGCCGACAGTAGATTGCCGATGGCAGAACAACTATCGGTATACTTCGATAGAATGGTGGTCAGAAAGTTACCGATCGTTTAAGTATTAAATAACCTCCAATCTAGTGCACATTATAGCAAACAGCTTATCGACAGTTTATCAGATGGTTTTTTTCCAGTTTGAATTACATAGGATGTCATCATATAGCTTGTTCTGTTCGCTTTTAGTTTTGGTTTAAAATTAAAGTAAATGAAACTTATATTTTCATTCATAAGTTTTCAATTACTCATAAAATTCAAAAAAAAGATAAGAATGGGCTTCATTGAATATATTAATCTAGTGGCTTCTTTTTCGGAATATTATCATTGAGTTTTGCTTTATATTTATTCTAATAAGAGAAAAATAATTATTGAAATTCATATTCATAATCATATATGAATGCTGTTTCGAAACTAAATAATATTAGAAAATCTTCCGAATTTTTAAAACTAGATTAAAAAAGTATTCAAAACTCAAGGATGGACTGTTTTTTTTTCAAATCTTTAGTCAATCTTAACATTTAATGCTTAGCCAAATGTAGAATGAGAATCATTTGTAAAATATTAGGTATTAAATTTATTTGTTACTTTTAGGGTCTTGATCTAGAATCTGTTCGTTATATGACTCCACCAGATCCATTAGCAGATTCATTCATTCAAGAGTGTATTGGTATTAAACTTGAGCAATGGCATCTACCTAATAGTCGATCAAACTTATGCTCTTCAACTCCATATCCTGTAGATCTTTCAAATGTTTTTCATCGATCACTCTCATCTGCATCTTTCACAGCTTCTAAAAAATCAACGAATCAATATTATGTCGTTTCAAAGTATTTTACTTCTCCAAAAAACATTATTCCATTAATATACGAAAGACAAGTAATGCTTGAATGTTTATGTACACAAGATTCAACAGCATATGGAACAGTTCGTGTCCATAATCGTGCTTATGGAAAACGTGTTTTTGCTCGTATAAGTAAAAATGATTGGAAAACATTTCACGACATTTATGGATTGCATTCAATGAATTATCCAAATGATAATACAGATACATTTACATTCGAAATTCGTTTAGGAAAATATGACGATAACACAAAAGTTCCCAAACAAATTAATTTTGCTATTTGTCTACAAACCAATAATCAAGAATTTTGGGATAATAACTGTGGATGGAATTATGCATTAGATGTACTTGAAAGGTAAAGCAAAAAAAAAACTAAGAATGACGAAGTTTTTGTTTGTATCAAAACTGAAATTCATACATAAAGGTATTTACTTCTATCAGTCAAAAAGATGGAAGAATTCAGAGGATCTATATATTCACAAAAAAAGATATTCCATTGATTCGTCTGCATCAATCAATCGAAGTAGTTATTAGAATCTTCAATACAAAGTTTTATCCTTTTAATGTACTTTTGAGATTTATTTTCAAAGATAAGAATAGATACCCAATTTCGTTCCTTGATTATTATTATAATTACGCTAATCCTTTGAGTCTTAACCACTTGAAGAATTTTAATATTGATGTAAGACTGAAGAAGAATGCTCTTGCTTTCGAGCAGCAGATTCATTTACTCGATATCTTTTTTTATACCTAATACTAACTGCAGTTCTGGACACAGAGTTCTTGTGTTCAAGGATGAAGAACCGAGACAAACGACGTTAATGACTTGTCTAGGTTCAATCTATGGGTGGTGTTACCGAGGTTTGAACATAGTACCTATTAAATACATGCCGAATAATATAGTCACTCTGCCATGACAGTCCGATATACGACTGTAAGATGATTCTATCATTAACTTTGAAACGTGGATTTTCTGACACAATATTGAATCGAAATCAAGGTCAAAAGAGAAAAAAGAAACTAACCGAGCGTCATTTACTAGTAACGATATGAAAAATCAATAATGGATGTCGTCCGGGTCACCATAACTTATGTTTCACCTTTTTTTTTTTGTTACAGTGCTTTCTATAGTAGCTAGAGGAAATGAACAGTTCCTCACTCAGTCACTTGTCCGCTATGGAAACTTTCACAAAAATTTTGAATAAAATTATGAAATGTATTAATAAATAAAATTCATTTCTTGTCAGAGAATAATTATCATCATGAACTGATTTATCTAACTGTTCTAGTCGTCCAAAGTTCTTTGGAAATGGAAATACTCTAGAAACTATATATGTAATAAACTGTCAGAATATGAGTGTGGATGAAGAAAAAACCCACCTTCGTAGTCTTCGCGAGCAACTATCTTAGACTGAATGACTAGTAATGTATTCTATTATAGAATATCTGAAAGCTTCACTCGAGAAGTTATCAAACAGAGAAAGTATTATCAGATTAAATTGTATTAAATTCCATTATGGTTACATGAACAAATATTGAAAGACATCAATTATATTTACTTTTAAGGACACCCTCTTTTCAGGCTTAAAATCCATTTTTTCAATTTTAAGATTTTTATTTGTAAACATGATTTAGAGCGTTTTCTATCAGGGTAACATAAAAAATTAGAACTGTGTTAATCTGTATGAATTCTGACAATGTGTAGTTACAATAATCCTGTCTTTAAAAAGAAACTATTGTTTTTCCACATACCAATGTAATGCACTTGTCCTATATAATCAGTCGTTTTCATAAATTGTTGATCACTGTAAGTTTATTAATGATGACCTGAGTTATATATCATTTTGTTTCCATCAGAGTGTTGTTGAGAGATTCCTTCATTCATACTAAAACCTTCAAAGATCTAAAAGACACTAATAAAGGGAACGAACCTAGTTCTGAAGAGGAAATAATTAATGTATGAGAAAGAATAAAAATCACGACCTGTATTCATAAACTCTTTCAATTAAAGATTAGGCTCGTAACCAAGAGGTTCTATTTAATTCTTTGAATATCTCGTAAGAAATAGCTTTTTATACGTACATTTAATGCACAACAAAAGATAACTTATTATGTTCCAGAATGAGTCAAAAAGAAAAAAGATATATGCCAAAAGAAACACAATTTCGCGTTGTTTACTTTTTGTATCAAAATCAATTTATGAAGGAAAAAAAAGGAAGTTTTCCTGCTTTTCTTCTGGATGGTACAACTAATTGGGCTTAGATTTGTTGTTGAATAAGCGCTTTGATTGAATCGTGATGTGTTTATGTGCGCTTTTTATTCAACATATTGCTCCTGCAAAGTTTGCCAACCTTCAGAAAATTAGTACCATTGAAAAAAACACGTAATCTTGATTCTCAAGACATTTCAAAAGATATAAGTCAGAAATGATTAGTTGTTATTCTTTTTTGACTGTAGCATGATCGAAGACAAATATTCATTTATGACTCATTTGTATACAATACAACAGTCTGATCCAGATTTTTCTTCTGGAAGGCCAATTAAAAAATCTTGAAGGGTAAATCCTTTTTTTAGGAGCACAGACAACAATATATGTGGTACAAGAACCACTAATTTCAGAAAAGCCTATTGAATCTTCGAAGGAGCACCGAATCTTCGACCTTTACGTTCTATAAAAACCTACAATAAAGCATTGAGCGAGAAGAATATGTCTATTTTGTAGATGAATGTCCATGTATTTTTTATATATGCATTTTAGTGAAGGCAATAATATATCAGTGATTTCATATAGCATATATATATATTGTAACGTCCATATCATAAGAAATAGATTTTCTCCCACTAAACTGATCAACTATGTATTGACATCTGCTTATCTTCTAATAGAAAATTTTCGTTGTATTTAGTATTACTATTACTATTACTATCTAGGTAATTGTTTACAAGATTAGCTTGCTAACAGCTCCAACAAAAAACATGCACTTTAACCAGATATATTTTATACAACAGATAAATTTTCACATGTTTTACTGAAATATCGAAAACATATTTTACTATGAAGTTTTTAGTTTTAATAAATAACAATCAAATAGAAAAGGAATGAAATTCTTATTCAAATTGTATATTTTATAATTATGCTTGAGAGAAAATACACTACAGTTTAATTCGAGCATACAGAAACAGAAAGCTTTCTGTTTATTTTAACATCAATCATAAGACAGTTGGAGATTTTTCTGTCTTCTTCAATAGTATGAAATTCCATTATTTCTGTTTGTAGNCGGTGTAGTACATTTAGTTCAAATACATCGTCATCCGGAATATGTAGTGCATTTTCTGACGTTGGACATGAAGAAAGTGCATCAACGTTATCAGAAGATCTTGATTTTAACCTTGGTTTTGATCAGATTAGTGATAATGATGATTTTGAAACATTTAGCCTTGATGAAATAGATGAATATGAACAAAATGAAGGAAATAATCAACGAATCTCGAATAAGAATATTTGCAGTAAGTATACTAAAATGAAATTATATTTTCTATTGTTTCTCTTCAAAGATACAGCAACATTAGTCGATTTTGGTCAGTCGAATTCAGAAGGACGTAATAAGGAATTAGAAAAATGTCTTCGTAAATCTTATAGTTCAACAACTCTTAATGGTAATATTGAATTTCATAATGATGATAAAATAACAGAAAATCAAACAAAACAACAACAGTGTACATCAGTATTACATGATTCAACAAATGCATTGTGTTCATCAGATCGTTTTTCAGTATATAGTGAAAGCGGTGATCATGAAAAAGACAAAGTGCCACATGCTATTGGTACACGTTCGAATTCATTGGGTATTGCTTTAATAGATAGAAAGTCGGCTTTATTGGATAAACCACCAAAAAAAGTTGTTCGCTTCGCCGATATGTTGGTATGTTTTGTGTATCTTATGAGTAGATAACAACAGTGTTTCTTTATATAAGATGCGAGAAAAATTATTCAAGCATTGTTTGAATAAAATAAGAGTAGTACAAGAACAGGAATAGTTATGGCTAGCTCAGAGACAGGTAGAGCCACAGTACTCGAAGGGTAAGAGAAATATACAGTAAGGCTTAGAAGACAACTATATCTTTAACCTACCCTGGAATGTAGAGTGGTATCAAGAGAAGAAAAATTATAGGCTATAGAAAGGTTATAGGTTCTGTAGCGTAGTGTAGAGTCAGGGCAATATAGCTGCAGAGGAGAGCAGGAGCAGATGAAGAAAAGTTTCATAAAGTAGGGTTAGGCCATGAAGAAATGCTTACGCTGTACAACACTAAATGAACTAACATGGAAAAAGGTTTCCTCTCATGTCTCTTTATCATTTATGAGGAATCTTTCTTGTCTTTGAAACCATTTCACCTCATCGAAGAGCAAAACTTCGAAATAGATTCTTATCTTTGAGACTTATGTATTCTGAAATACGTATTTGCCAATATAATCAACCTTGAAGGAATGGCGGCTTTTTTTTGGTTTTCTATGAGGTAATAGTCCACACTCATAAAAGTAACAATCCAGAAATTTTGAATTGAAAGAGAAGCGATAGAAACATCATCGACAAAAGTACAGTCATTAAATTTTCATTGAGTTTTCAAATATAAATTGATACAGTTCAGTACTAACTTTATTAAATAGAAATCTTGAAAGATTATTTATTTTTTTTTGTTAATGTTTCAATGTAAAGAATTGTACAATATGTAGTTTGAGCCTATTGTAACATGAATGTGCGTTTCTTCAATGATCAACAATACACATAAACATGTCGTCTAGAGTCTTTTTTCAGTTCTTTTCTTATTTTGACAGAGAAATTAATGAAAGAATGTCAAATGTTCTTATGGTCAGTGTCAAGTAGTCTTCTTACGAGAATCCATTGAGAGAAAAAAAGAGCACCAGAATCGTTCGATTTTTCAATCTGTCAGACCTCATGATAGGTATTTCATTAATTCATATTAGAACTCTCTCTAACTGGTCACTTCAGTCTTGTTTCAATTTCAATTTATGGGCCATGATTTTCTACACAGCTGAGACTCCATCATCCCATGTTGTACGTTCGTTTTCATCACCACTGATATGTCGACAGTAGATTGCCGATCGCAGAACAACTATCGGTATACTACGATAGAATGGTGGTCAGAAAATTACCGACCGTTTAAGTATTATACAACCTCTAATCTAGTGATATTATACCAAACAGTCTATCGATAGTTTGTCAGGTGGTTTTTGTCCACTTTGAATTACATAGGATGTCATCATATAGCTTGTTTTGTTCTCTTTTAGCTTTGATTTAAAACTAAACTAAATAAAACCTATGTTATTATTCTAAACATTTCAATTATTCGTAAAACTCAGAAAACAAAGTACTTTATTGAATCAATTGATTTAGTAATTCTTTTTTGGAAGATTCTCATTGAATTTTGTTCTACATTTATACCAATAAAAGAAAAAAATTTATTGAAATTCGAACTTATAATAATATATATGAATGACGTTTCGAAACATTATAACATTAAGATATGTTCCGAATTGTTAGAACTAAATAACAAAAAAGATTTATTCAAAACTTAGGGATTGATTGTTTTTCAGAAATCTATAGTCATTCTTAATACTTCATATTTAGTTAAAACTAGAATAAATATTGCTTGTGAAATATTATGTATTATGTTTATTTGTTGCTTTCAGGGTCTTGATCTAGAATCTGTTCGTTATATGACTCCACCAGATCAATCACCAGATCCATTCATTCAAGAGTGCATTCGTAATAAACTTGAACAACTATGGTTAGTTAAAAGTCAACCAAATATATTATCTACGTCGCCATGTCCTTTTGATCTTGCAAATATTATTAATCGATCATCGTCATCTGCATTTATCAATACTTCTAAAAAATCAACGAATCAATATTATTTAGTTTCAAAATATTTTACTTCTCCAAAAAACATTATTCAATTAATATACGAACGACAAATAATGCTTGAATGTTTATATACAAAAGATTCCATCGCATATGGAACAGTTCGTGTCCATAATCGAGTTCATGAACGACGTGTTTTTGCTCGTATAAGTGAAAATGATTGGAAAACATTTGAAGATATTTACGCAATGCACTCAATGAATTATCCAAATAATAATACAGATACATTTACATTTGAAATACATTTAGGAAAATATGATAACAACACAAAAGTCCCGAAACAAATTTATTTTGCTATATGTTTACAAACCAATAATCAAGAATTTTGGGATAATAACTGTGGATGGAATTATGCATTATATGTACTTGAAAGGTAAAGCAAAAAAAAACTAAGAATGACGAAGTTTTTGTTTCTATCAAAACTGAATTTCATACATAAAGGTATTTACTTTTATCAGTCAAAAAGATGGAAGAATTCAGAGGATCTATATATTCACAAAAAAGATATTCCATTGATTCGTCTGCATTAATCAATCGAAGTAGTTATTAGAATCTTCAATACAAAGTTTTATCCTTTTAATATACTTCTCAAATATATTTTCAAAGATACAAATAGATACTGAATTTCCTTTCTTGGTTATTATCGTAATTACACTGATTCTTTGAGTCCTGACCACTTGAAGAAGTTTAATATTGGTGCTAAATTGAAACTGTAGAATATCCTTCGCTTTCGACTACCTTGTGCTATAAGGTGCTACCTAATAGCAGATTCATTTACCTGGTATCTTTCTTATACCTAACATTAGCTGCAGTTCTAGGCATAAAGGTCAGTCTGATGCAGAGTTCTCATGCTCAAGGATGAATTATCCGAGATAAACGGGCGTTAGTGATTTCTGCAGGTTCAATCCATGGTGGTGGTATCAAGGTTTGAACATAGTACCTACTGAGTGCATGCCGAACAATATAGTCACTCCACCGTGACGATGCTATATGAAACTGTAGGCTGGTTCTATCATTAACTTTAAAATGTGGGTTTTTTGACACAGCATTGAGTCGAAATCAAAGTCAAGAGAGAAAAAATAAACTAACCGAGCGTCATTTACTAATGTCCGCGCCAGAATAAAAGAGGGGTGAGTGTAAGCTCAATAACTCGACAACCGCAATACCTAGCTACCTGCGGTTTTCACCAATCGAAAGAGGAGGNGTCGATGCGAGAAATCATCAAAATTTTCGGTCAAAAACGCATCATTAGATAAAAAAACTATAGTGTTTCTGAAAGAGCTGAAGAAGGGCTATCTTCCTATGCATTTATCTCAATTTTCATTTTTTTGACGAAAAGTGACTTTTTTGGAGGGGGGGGGGGTGGCCTTAACTTCTCACCGCCAGATCGAACACGTAATGGTACTGAATTCGGTTGATTAATCATGTGAATATTAGTATTATTCGGTATACAAATCAGATCATCCTTCTTTGAAAGTAATGGATCAATTTGAGCTTTTGTACAAATTTCTTGCCAAATAGTAAGACGTGGTTTATGTATCATATGTGGATAGACAACACGATGAATACCAGATTTAAAACGATTCTTGGTCAGAATACTTGCTGCTTCACCTAACCATATGACACCAATAGAATGTTGATCAAGTTCAGAATTATTCGGTCCATCAATCCATTTATCTTGTAATTGATCATGCAACTGAAGACCTTCACATGTAGATAGAATACTTAATGAAAAAAGACCTGGGTCAAAATGTGGAACACAATTGACTTCATCTGTATTTAGACCAATTTTAGGCTGGTTTTTAGATCCTGATTTTTTATTAAAATAATTTACAATATCAAGCATACCAAATGGCGATAATTCTACCATGTTATCATTAGAATTTCGTGCGAAAATTGGCATTTGAAACATGATATTTTTTAAAACATTGGTTAAATTATAAAGTAATGTTGCTAGGTATTGCAACACAATTTCTACATCGTTTGTTACACGATAATAAAAATTCTTGAGACCTTTTTCATCAATAAGTACTTTAATACCTTCTTTATGACCGACATGTGAATAGCCAAAGACATTGTATGATTCATACTGGGATTTTTCATTTTGATTTTGAGCAAAAAAGGTTGAGAGTGTTGTTTCTATTTCGTTGAGTTTATTGGTTAGTTTACCATGTTTGTTGGGTAATCGAATAAAGCACCAACCATGAGATTCAAATTCACTTTGCAAAGAGTTTATTTCACTTGAATCACCAAGCAACAGTTTGTCGAAATCGATAAGCGTATGGTTATTGAAGTTGTGTTTAGTTGCCATGAAAAGCGATCGACGAAGAAAAAATGATGATGCGATCTATATAACGACAACGTGTCACTCCTTATTTATACGTGTTCGAGCCATGACTTTTATGAGTTATTGCTCAACCAAAAGAAAGAGTGAGTTATCAACATTGATTGATTATACCATATTCCTTTCGACGCTATATGAATCACGTTTACTGTTACATTACCAACATTTGACTAAAGTCAATTGAGGGTAGATTAGTTTGTTTTAGTCAGAATATACTTGTAAATCTTCTTGTGCAAACATTCAGGAATGTTATGAATCTATTAATTAATATATGGTAAAAATTCTACTGGAATTACCCAGGTCGATAGTTCTGGTTCCAGGATACGGCAAAAATCCAAAGAAAATGACCCATTTTCCAGTCAACTCCGATAAATTCTTGCTTCATTTCTACAGGAAAAGGTAGAAAAGATACATCGAAAATTCAAAGAGTATTTTCACCGGATAATCACTTTACCGGAACCGAACTTTCTCAGAGATTTTCTGTCACCTGAATAAAAAGGAAACTAAACCATACTGGGTAGTAATACAAGAAGTCTACCACAAAAAGCCTTGGAAATTAGTTACATCCATGCGGAAGTACACCGGAATCAGATCATATTCTTGTGAAAACATACCACGAATAACCGTATTCGGAAAGGCCTTAAAAGATCTTTTCTATTAAACTATCTATCAAAGTCTCCAAAATGATTTCTAAATATGCTATCTGTCAAGCAAAGATCCTTAGAGATCTTTTTCTATCGAACTAGCTATTTCAGCCCTAAAAATACTTTGTAAATAAGATATCTGTCGAATCAAGATTTTTAAAGCTCTTTTCAAATTATAACAGGTTTTCGAGGATGGAAGCCATCTAGTGTAAAGTTACAACTTGAGAGAGGACGTTAAAAAACCTTTGTTTTTTTTAAACTTTGTGTTGTCTTTCATTAATTACTAGCGATCAATATGTTTGATGAAAAGTGCGTTCATAGCTTTTTACTTAGAAGGAAACTACAACTGTGATGAAAAAGACGGCTTGCATGTCAATGGTATGGAGGAAACTGTATCAAAAGTGTTTCTTTTATGGATGCATGATTAAGGGCAAAAAAAAATGATTTAGAATATTGCTGACAAGCGTAGAAGTTCTTTTTTATCCATCTCACTATTTGTGATTGATTGCGATAAATAAAGTCACCTTTTACAAAGGCAATTAAAGAAAAGGGATATGTTCATTTTCTGCTGTTATTCGAAAGTCTAGGTAGTATAGTTCTCTGTTTTGAAATAGTTCGAGAAGTCTCTCAAAAGCCTTTTTGTGAAGTGAATTTATCAAAATTGTAAATTTTTGTCAATCATTTGCCTGTGTAGGAGTGATTGTAACTATTCAGATAATTGTTAAAAAGTTTTATGTTTGATTACATTTGTCTAGTTTTGATCGACAATTTGATGGCTTTTAGTCGATCTTCAATGCATATTACTACTGTCCGCATTGGGACTAGAATGTACTATAGTATGCTATGGGTTCATATCTATAGGATGACGATTTTCCGTTTAGCTTGTGGCCTGAAAACAAATAGTTGGCTTTAGAATTTCATAATACGTTGACTTTATATATCCTTATGTTTGGAACTTCAAAACTGGAGTTTCCTCGAAAGAAGAGATCCTATATTGATAGCAGTTCGTATTTTTTTAATGCATATCTATACCAAGTGTACATACATGCTAACCGACATTTTTATGTTAGCACATAACTGATCCTGAAGTTTTTTTTTGTGCAGATGATGTGATGGGTATATTATTCTAGATTCCTCAAATTTTTGTCAAAGTTCTTACTTCGAATCCCTCTGAACACATCTAGCTCTGAAATAAATCCAATCATACCGCGATAAATATACATATAAAGGATCGGGTGTGGGTGTGGAATGATTATCATCGGTTATTTGTTCAAAAAAGCTGAAACAATAATATACACACGTAATATCTTAGTTGATTGGTCTAAATCAGACCATAATATTTATCTTAATATTTTCTCTGAATTATGTCCGGTGGTCTGTGAGTTATGTCGAAGTTCGGATCATATTACTTGTTTTTGTAAAAAAATACTTGATCGAATCGATTAATTGAAAAAATGTTATTGAATAATCCTGGTCGAGAAACAGATACAACATCACCACTGACCTTTTCTTCTCGTTGAGTTTTAGGTAATGATGATATTAAACATGATTCTCGTTCAACTTGTTAATTTTACAATGGAGCCAACTTCGGCAAATGTATTCAGCCAGAAGGTCGTTTTGTTCATTTTTGCTCCCGTTGTCAAGGTTCACATTTAAAAAAATTGTGCAACCAAAAATAACTCAATATTGACACTTTTAGTTGCTCATTCTGATAGTTAAAAATTTATTAATTAAAAAATTATAATACCAGTAATATGGTATTAATCAAATAATTAAACTTGCTACTAAATGATGGATTCTTTATGATTTTTCTTCTAACAAACAGTCGCTGTGTGAGCGTTCAGTTTGTAACAACCACACCTATTGATGTTGATCAATTAGAGAAAGAACTAAGTGATCATCTAGATAAAAACTTCACTTTTTTTCCTGGTGTCGGGTGTTCAAGAAAGTTTCGGTACTGATATTTCCAACACATCAGACAAATCATTTAAATGACCCAATTTGAGATCAGCAAAGGCTTTTTAATTGGTCCTTATTGTACACCACCTTTTAATAATTATCGAATTAATCCTATTGAGATGGTGGAATGTCAATAGTCAAAGAAGAAACGATTAATTGTTGATTTGTCTGCTCTACATAATAATCCAGATCCTTCAAGTATTAATTCTTTGATTGATAAAGACTCTATTCTCTCTCTCTCTCTCATACGTTACTATTGACGATGCCATTAAATGAATTCAGGCTCTAGAATATGGTGCTTGGATGAATAAAGCAGATATTCAAGATCTTTTTAAATTACTTCCTTTTCAACCATCTCTCTGACCTTTCTACGGTATTAAATGGAATGACAATTATTATTTCTTTGTACAATTGTCTTTTAGCTCCCTTACTTCACCCAAACTGTTTGATATGTTAAGCGAAACTATTGTTTGGATAGCAGAGCATAATTATGGCATTACAAATGTGTTGCATTTATTGGATGATTTTTTGTCGCAGATAGTGCCAAAGATGGCGGAGAGCGAACATGTGTTAGTCTTTGTTTGCTCTTTAATCGGCTAAAGATGCCTTTTGTTACTTAAGAAAACAAATCGTTCTAGTGCAGGAAATTGAATATTTAAGTATGATTCTTGATTGAAAACGAGTGGAGGCTAGATTACCTCAGGAAAAGCTGTCACAAATCATCAAAATGATTAAAACTTTACTCAATTCATATGATGCGTTATACAAGTTTCCAGGAAACTCAGTAGGTTTTCGGACATTAAATCAATTTCCGGAAACTCCCCTCAGTTTTTCTATTGCACATAATGGGCATAATCGGCATAATAGGCGTAGTAGACACAATCACTTAGAGAGATGCCCTATGTGTGTCTTTCTGTCCTCACCCTCACCCTTATGCGCATTATGCCGATTATACCCATTATGTGCACTAGGGAAACTGAGGGGAGTTTCCGGAAATACGATTAGTTTCCGGCAATCAATTTGGTTTCCGGAAATCGATTTGATGTCCGAAAACCTACTGAGTTTCCTGGAAATTTATATAACACATCATATGGATTTTATATGATGCATGTGATTTAGACGCCTCAAATATAAATTTATATTCAACGATTTGAAAATATTCGTCGTGACCTTTTATGTTAAATATTTCGAAAGCGATCTTTTTGCCGTTCTTAATTCGTGAAATTACTTGTTATCAGTAAAACATGATTAAGACTTGTGTTGATTGATAAATTATCATCTAGAAAAAAAATTTTCAATTCTATGATAGTATTTTAAAGATAGAGGACACTTTGATGTTGAAAGAACTTTATTCATAACTACCGGTATTTTATGCAACATGACTTAATGATGGAAACAAACAGACATATTGAATTTAGAGACCATAGTTGTTAAATGATTTGTGATTTATTAGTTTGTTTCATTCATTGATATTGCTGGCGTCTATCTAAAATAAGATGTTTCTAGCCATTTTCTTCGATTACATTTCAAATATTATTCAAACATACTACTATTGTTTTGATTTTATGGAATTTTTTTGTTTTGTATTATATAAGGAAGAACTAAAAAAGAAATTAAATGAAAGGATCTTTGATTTCGAATACATGGATATTTATTTTGATAGCTTGCCATGCTACTGGAAACCTTATCAGTTTCTTTCATTCGAAATCGAAACTAAAAGAACATTATTGTAAAACAAACAAAAAATTTTTAGAGCACCATACTGACAGTATGGGTTAACATTCAATGGCTTCTTTTATTAGTTTAACGACAACAGGAAATTAAATCTAACACATGAGCATCATTAAAATACTTTCATTGATCGTTTGATTTTTGTATGATGTTGAAGAAATTTTTTTTCATAATGATATTTATTAAAAGTTGCAGGTTAAGTTACAAATTTTCTAACTGTGATTTAATCCAATGCTTTGATCTAACTATAAATCAAAAGCAAAGTTAGGCACTATTTTCATCGACTATTCATTTCCTTCAAGAGTAAGAAGATTATCTAAAACATCGATTATAAGCGAAACACGAATTTCAATGGTGATTAGAGACAAATACAAAAAAAAAACCTTATAATACTGCATACCAACGTCTAGATTGCCCTAAAACATGCATATTTTATTTTCAATTAAAAAATACTATATAGATATTAAATGCTTTTTGATTTCAATATTTGTTAATTTCTATTTTAAATCCTTTGACAGCAAAGCCCGTAAAATTACGTTTTCAAATTTTGAATAGAAAGTCAAACCGAAATATAGTAAAACAAGCCTTGTGCAAACATCCTTCGTAATTTGACATAGATGTCTCTAGTAATCA